TGCCAAGCAGATGGGACCATGTCACATAATGAGTGAAAGTGAAGCTTGAAGTAAATTTGGGGGACACCACCAATTAGCCGCAGTGCATTAACCTGTGATATATGTCCTGCACCTTCGAACAGGTAATACTGTGCTGAGCTCTGAAGGCCCCCAAAAGGAATAGAATAGAATAGAATAGAATAGAATAGAATAGAATAGACAGATTGTAGAATAGAATAGAACAGAACAGAATAGAATAGAATATGGAATGGAGAATAGAATAGAATAGAGCTAGAAGGGACCTTGGAGGTCTTCTAGTCCAGCCCCCTGCTCAGCAGGAGAACCTATACCATCTCAGACAAGTGGCTGTCCAGGAGACTTGGTCACCTCTGCTCTGAGCCTTAGAGAAATGTCTGAGTCCAGGCAATGGTGGCTATTCCGCAAATTCTGGTTCAAACCAATGATGCTTTGGCACGTGTGAACTCAGCATGCATCAGTGCAGGGGTCTTTTGCAGAAAGAAATGTGGGAAGACGGGAAGGCAATTTACACCAAAGCCAGATTGTTAATCCATTTGTCTCGGTATACTGTTTATTTTTAGTACCGTGCAGCAAATTAGCTGAAAGATGCTTGGTTAATTTGTGGTCCAGTATGGTGTGCACATCCTGAATTTATTCTGCCCAGTTCAGTTATCCATGGGTTAATGTGCTGTGTGAAATCAGCCACTGACTAAGAAGTCTTTGATGTTTCAAATCAGAGCCTTACCTGGGACGAAACCAAGGAGCTTTGGTCAGCAAAACATATGTTTTACTGCTAAGCAACACATCCCTCTGAGCTTCGTTGTCCTTGAAAACCTGGATATTTTGCCTTGATGTGCACTTCCCAGCTGCGGTTCCTGAGAGTGTGAAGGAACTCTGTACATGTTTTATTTATTTATTTTATTTATTTATAATTTAATTTGTATCCCGCCCTTCTCCTCACCGGACTCAGGGCGGCTAACAGATGAATGCACGTTTTTTGTCATTCAGAGAAGCTGGATTATTGGAAATACAGCCTGCACCTCCCTATTTGGCTGAAATGAAGTCAACTCATTAATTTAAATGTGTAGTTGGCTGGTTCAACTTCACTGCAGGGTCTTCTTTCTGAAGTGGTAGCTTTAAAATAAGATAAATTGTATAGTGGGACAGGGACAGTCCTGGATCAAAGGAACTTTCACTGTTAAAGAAACTCAAGATTTAATTTGAGATGGCTAATAGGTGAGTCTGCAAAAGATTGCTAGCCAGCACCTATTTTTCATAGCCATACTTAGGCTAGTAACCATTTCTCTTCTCAGTGACCGTTCGCAACTTTGAACTGTTGCCAGTATGCAGCTTATAATTTTTCTCTGTGTGTGGAGAACATGGTGGGTTTTCCCTCCCCTGTAGATAAGCTAAATAAGGATAACAGCATCTTCCTCTCCTCACACACTGCAGCAGTGCTTGACTTGAAGTTGAAGCAGAAGCTGGATACTTTGTGGTTAAAGTCTTGGAGATGGATTGGGAAAAATAGGCTTGGTCCCAAAACATCCTTGTTACTCCCGGACCAAGTTGCTACCTGACATCTTGGAGATATGATGCTTCTTCTCTTGTTATAATATTTGAAATTCCAAGTTTAGTGAAGCGTAAATATTTTGAAAGGAAGTTCTTAAAACTCAGAATACTGTAGTAATAACACAATGGCGGGCTGAGACGTGCAAACAGGGTCCCCCCCTAACCCCAAATGTCATTCAAGCATTAAGCCAAAGATTGGGGGCCATCCTCATTTAGAGAGCCAGCGCACCCCATGAATGGTGTTGGACCTCACTGTGAGTTTCTCTTCAGCCATATGAATCCTAGTGCCTGGCCCAAGGCTAATTAATATCAGATTCATCTATATTATAGGACTGTTGTAAGTCGGGCTTCACAAACCTTGTTGGATGTGTCTCATAAATAAATCAGATGATTTCACTGGGGATATGGATGTCTCAAAGGTGCTTTTCGAAATGCAACTGGACAACCATGATCTGGATGATGGAGAATCTCCATAGACCTTGGGGATATGGATGATTTAAAAAAAATATACACAACTTACTTTTAATAAGTTAAACTTTTACACTTGATACCACTGAGAATTCTCCGGTATTTGAGGTATTGCAGCTGCTCCCCCCCCCCAGACTTTCTCAGGCTAGCACAGAGCAAAGTGCCCAGTGACATTTTGTACCATTTCCACGTGTGGGGGCTGTGACCACCTTCTAAATTGCTTCTGGCACCTCAGGGATCCTGGGATTGTAGAAATAAAAACTGTCAAAGGAAGATGCAGTTAAAGAACATAAGATGGGCAGGGTTTTTTTTTTTTTACTGAAACAGTTGTAAAAGAGATTTGGGGAAGATCACGAAGGGGAAAGTTAGCCCACAGGCTGCCCGTGTTGTGCTTCGCGAACACAGGGAATGGAGAAAGAGGTTTTAGATCTGCCCTGAAGAAGGTAGCAACCCAGCTAGCAAAACATCAGGGCATTTTCTCACCTGGGACATAGCTCTGTACGGAAGTCATTTCCTCAATTGTTGCTTGCTCAGCTTCTGTAACCAAGAACT